GTTTGTTCAAATTTGCTGCTCTTGGCGGTAAAAATATTTTGAACCTTTGAATTTAACGATTTGGACAGCTTGCTTAAATTCAGGAGCAGGAGTGAAAATAACATACTGAGCCTATTTGTATGTGTATCAAACAGATATAATCGTTTTTTAAATATACTGTTGGAAGCATCAAGATATTTGAGAAAACCCGTTTTCATCTTGCCAGTACTGAAAAGGAGTGCACTTAGCTGTCAAAGCTTTTAGAATAATTAAAGATTTCGTGGATCCTAAGTCTGGAGTTTTTGATATTCCTTAACATAAAAAGTGACACTTATAAAAAGAACTCAATACAGTTGAGTCTAATTGGCTATATCTCGAGAACTTCGCGTCTCTACTATGCTTTTTGTAGATAGACATACCAGGTTTGCTACCTGATAGATCCCAAGAGTACTATGTCGCGTTTCTCATAGAGCTGGTTGCCGAAAATTTTCCTTAAAAACTTTAATTAATCTTTGGCGACGACAAGACTAGCAATACCACCCGTCTATCTCTGATATGGTAGCTTTATGTATCGCCATTATTCAGTTGAACTTCACAGGCCTTCTTCATGTCTAGTACTACCGCTGAGTTTAGTATATGGATAGAACGAAAGCTATCATCGAGTACCACTAGGCAGGTAGTATATTTCTGTTCTACATATGACTTCTGCAGTTTTACATCCCTTTCTTGCCCACCTCCTATCCAGTTCTTTTATTAGAAATTAGTCTAAACCGWTAAAATTTATTACCCAAATAATATAGYGGATCGCGCGCTGCGTCCAATATTCGCTCAATAGAATCGCTTAGCAGATTCGGTAATTCGACCAACCATGGATCGGTTTCACACCGCAGTTACTCCAGAGGATAATGCCTCGTATGTCTGCTGTGGATAAGAGTATCGAAGAGAATTCGAACGAGACCTATTAACTGAGCTTCTTCACCTATTGCAAAAGGCCAAAGCTGGTCTATGCGTGGCTCATTATCCTACCAGATTAACCTAACCTAACGTCAACGGGGAACGTTATGGAAAGGGAGCATGTTGAGTGGGTCAACGAAAAAGGAAATTTATTGAAATTAGCTGTTATTGAGGGGGTCGTTTGTTASTGACGATCATATATATTGCGATATCCAGAGGTTCAGAGGAAATTATTATAATTTGGAGTTATAATATTAGAGCCTTTGTAGCCAGTTTTGAGTGAAGTTTCTGTAATGCTTTCAAAAGGCTAACTGTATTTTCATCCTATAAAATTACGCCTCTGCGTAATAATCGCTGTTAGGTATGGTTTAATGCTGTTTGGATCAGTGTAATCGCTTTAGAAATTCCTTTTGAGTAGAATGATAGCAGGAAAAATTATTCGAAGTCTTTCAAACTTTTTTTTATTCCTAAATATGGTTAGGATTAGAGGTTAGT